CGTAAGATTAGTCACTGATAATGGAACTGAAAGTGATGGGACTCTCATGGGATGAACTGCAAACCAAGGCATAAAATCTATATAAATAAAGTGCAGTGTCCATGTACCTGTCTGTCCATTTTTCAATCTTGGCAAATCATAAACAAGCTGAAGTAATAGGTGGTAGTTATTGTAGGAACACGCAATTAAAAATTAAATAAATAACTCATTTAAAGTTAAATTTAAATATCAAACAGAATGAAAGGTTTAAAAAACATTGTTTATTAAATTTTTAACTTTAATTTCATTTTTCATTGCAATTAATATTGTCTAATTAAATCATAATTAAAACTTAAGCAGGGCACGGTAGATTGTTCATATGTTTTTTTTTCCTTTTTCTAGCATGTGTTCTATAACATATTCGAAATATTACATCATTCCGGTCCCCTAAAATCTTTTAAGAGTGACTTTATGTGAAGGGATCATAAAGAATAGTGATTTTAAAATAAAATAAAAATTACACACAAAATAAATGTAAACTAAACAAACTATTGAGATTGGTTGCATATACAAAGAAAGATTATGCTGAATTAAGGTGTCAAATAAAGATAAAATAATTTTAATATTTCTAAATTCTTATAAACTTTTATGTACACAGGATGCTGAAGGTAAAAGGCCAAAGGTCCAAAAGCCCTCTGCAGGAGTTTACCTAAAGTGCAGACAAAGGGCAGCTTCTAGGCTAGTATAAAATTTGATCACTGCATTTGATCACCAAGTTGGGACAAAATGGTTAAGCATAACTTTTAAGATAAGGCTTCTTTCTCATCTACTGTATTCCTTGGTATCTTATTTCAGTGGAAGAGTGGTTAGAATGTTTACATTCTGATCATGAGACCCAGATTCGAATCTCACCATGGTCAATTTGTCAGTAAGGAGACTTCCTGATGTTATCAGACTGGAGGGGTTGATCCCAGCATGTGGCACCTTTGGAAAGTGCCTGAAAACCATACCACAGGTTAACCTAAGACTTGTGAGTGAGATTGGGTAGATGGAACACTTGGGAGCTGTCGATAGCTGTGCTAGCACAATGTCACAAGTCATCATGGCCAAGGGCTTGAGTGTGCTGGCCTTGTTCAAATTGTTGACCACACTAGATAACACACTCTTTCCCAGAAACTGTAACTAAGGTCTGCTCAGCATAGTTGTGAGTATAAACCACAGGTGGGTTCTGTGGGTGTTGAATAAACACAAATGCACCTGAGCAAGTGTCTGCAATAGGGATTGGCTAGCTGCCCTAGTAGACAGGTATCCATGAATATTTCAGTGCTCAAATTCTGGCTGAAGATGTTTATGTTTGTTTAGCACTCAAGCCCTTAGGAAAGCAATAATAAGATTGAGAAAGGCATGAATCCATATCCCCCTGCTCTGTTCCATTGCCAGTCAAGCTTGTTTATGTTTGCAGTTTCTCCTGTAAAAGGTGGATGCAGGTTCAAGTACTTCCATAAGTAAATTTTCTTTAATAAAACGTGAATATGCAAACCAGTAAGACAAAATAAATATACTATTTAAACTAAACAGGCTGTCTACTCAAATGCGGGCATCCACTAAAAATAATGTTCATAGTAATAAAAATATGTTGGATTAAAAAAAATTAATTAATTCTTTAGAAATTGCTTTGTTTATGTATTTACTTATCTATATAGACTACCATTCAAAAATTTGAGGTGACCCCTGGTAATGTAAAAAAAAATTGGTCCAAGAATTATTTGTGTTGTACTTTAATAATAGAAAATTATTATACATGGTTAAAAAAATTGAGACATGATTTTTTATTAGAAATTTTATTATAACAAACAGAAAAAAAGCATTTTATGATTAAATTTTGCTCTCATCAAAATATCCTCCTTTAGCTTTGATTACTGCAGCCCAAATTTTTTAGCATTTGTTGCAAAAGTTTCTCAAAATATAAGTTTGATAATTGATTCTTTCTTTTTTCAATGACTCTAAGAGATCTTCTCATTTTTTTTTCACTCTTCAGTCAAGTTTTCTTAAGGACTTCAATGTATCACAAGAAAACTTTTTACACTTTGTCATACATTTTTCGCATATACACACATACATACATACATAAATATATATAGATAAGCAAGGTCGAATTTTATAAGTTGAAGTTTATAAGCAGTAAATTCAACCTTGCCAACTGAACGATCCTTTGTGGCCGAATCGGTTCAAAGGCATGTCAGGCTATATGACGGTTCCGTATAAGATACAGGTTCGAATTCTGTCGAAGGATGAATATTTTCTATGAAAATTTCTCTGACATTCAGGCTGGTAAATGTTAAACATAAAAATGTCTTTAAATAATATATATATATATATATATATATATATATATATATATATATATATATAATATTATAAATTAATTGATTTAAAAAATATGGTTATTTTCGCTACACAGTTCAACCATGTTTCAAAAATAGAAGCTAAAAACCCTAATTTTATTTTTGCAAATAAATTAAAACATTAGTTCCATTTCATCTTCAAGCGAAGTTTCAAGTTTATTACTTACTAACAATATAAAACAGATCCCCTATGAAATGGAACTAATGCTTTTAATTTATTTGCAAAAATAAAATTAGGGTTTTAGCTTCTATTTTGAAACATGGTATGTGTAGCTCCTAAAATAATCATATTTTAAATCAATTAATTTATAATATTAAATGCTAATAAATTTACATTGAGCACTATTTTGTAAAAAATAAAATATCTATAAGAACACGGATTTTATATCTTACTGTTCTTTTCTTTTTATTTATATATATATATATATATATATATATATATATATATATATATGGATTGTTATTGATGAAGGTGTGGTATGTTAACTCATACAACCAGTTCTTTAACATCTCCTATTTGTAAATTGGCAATGATGAACAATAATGAAATCCTTTTAAAAATGACATTTACATTCCTCTGGTAATCTTCTTAGCTAATAGGATTCAAGTGATTGAATTTGCAACTCTTGACAGGCTTTTCTTTCTAATTAATGATAAGTTTTGCCAAGTTAAGCCAATTGATTACTTTACAAGCACACATAGCACTTGTGATTAATCCGATTTTGAACAGTTTTGTGTCCTATAAGAGTTCATCTAAATGAACATACTCAGGTTCAAAATAATCTGTACTGATGAGTGATGATGATTCAGAAACTGCATAGAGCATTTACGTGAAAATCTTGAATATATATAAACTAGTTGATTTACACTGGTAAAAATGGCTGCATATTTTTTTTACTATTATTAGATGCTTTCCACATGTGAGTTTTTTTTTTAAAATATATCATCCTAGTTTTTATATCATTATGTAGTAATTATGGGAAGGGGATCAGTTTATTACTTACTAACAATATAAAACAGATCCCCTATTTTATGACCAATAGAATCCTATATTAATAAAACTTAACACAGCAAATGAATGTATATTTTGTTATGTCCTTACTTTTATTAAAAGTTTTTCACATGTGAGTTTCTTTTAACATACCTTTCAGTTTTTATATCATTATGTAGCTATTGTGGGGGTGCCAGTTTATTATGTAATAACAGTATAAAAAGATCCCCCCTTTTATGTCCAGTAGAATCCTATGTTAATAAAACTTAGTACACAGAATCCTATATTAATAAAACTTAGTACACACCATTAAAAATGAATGCATATTTTGTTATGTCCTTGCTTCTATATGTGTCTATATCTCTGAGATGAGGTATTATGATTATATAAATTATTTACATTATTCAAACTGTTATCCTCATCTTCATCATCATATTCACAACATTTCGGCTGTTGTATGCTCTGGCCTTCTTCAGGTGATTGGAATTTCGAACTGAACCCTTTATTTTGTCCACCAGAGTAGATTGTTCCAGATCCATGTGCCATGCCTCTTCTGGGTGTCTTTCACTTTAACTCAACTCTCCAAGTTTATTTAGTTTATCACTGCTATAGCCTGGTATTGAACTCACAACTCTTTGGGTCCAGTCACTGTATCCAGGAGATATAGGCTTTGGTTAGATCCAGTGATTACACCCAAAGTACCAGGCTACAGAAGTGGTGAACCAAAAAACTTGGAGGGTTGAGTTAAAGGGAAATAACTGAACCATCCAGACGAGGCATGGCATGTGGAACTAGAACAATATACCCCTGTGGATGAAATAAAGGGTTTGGTTCAAAATTCCAATCACCTGAAGAAGGCAGGAGCGTACAATGGCCAAAACATTGTGATTATGGCAATGAAGTTGAGGATAACAGTTCGAATAATATAAATGATGTAAATAGTCTTTACTTCTATTAAAATTTTTTCACATGTGGGTTTTTTTAGCATATATTTCCTGTTTTTATATCATTATATAGTAATTATGCAACGGAGTCAGTTTATTACTTAATAACAACAAAAAACAGATCCCTCATTTCATGACCATCAGAATTCTATATTAATAAAACTTTACCCATACCATTAAAAATGACTGCTTCTTTGGTTACTCTTAGTAGACATTTTCAACTTGTGAATTTGTTTTTTTTTAATATATCTTCCCAGTTTTTATATCATTATGTAGTAATTCAGGGTGCAGGGTGATAGCTTATTTCTTAGTAGCTACAGAAAACTGACCCCCCATTTAATGTCCAGTAGAAATCCAGAATAACAATAATTTACAAATAACATCACTATAATCCATTACACCACCCATGCATCCAAACTAACGGAACTTACCATTTTCAAGCCATCACCCATCTAGGTACTGACCAGGTTTGTAGTTGCTTAACTTCAGTGATCATACGGAAAACAGTGTTTCAACATGATGTGACAATAAGTCTGCAAGTAAGCGTAAATACATATATTTGCATATATGTTGACATATATGCATACATATACATATGTATTATTCATTTGAATTCTTGTCTCAACTCTCCAGTTAACAATTCCAAGCCATTATCCATTATACCTCCTACCCATCCAAAGTTACAGCAGTTGGTATTCCCAAGTGGTTACCCATCTAGGTACTGACCAGGCTCAATGTTGCTTAACTTCGGGGATCATACGAGAACTGGTGCTGCAAGTAATTGTAAATACATACATTTGCATATACATTGACATATCTGCATATATATTATTCATTGGAATTGTTGCCTCAGCTCTCTGATTAACAATTCAAAGACATTTTCCACCACCCACACATCAAAGACATTTCACCACCCACACATCCAAACTTACAGAACTTGGTATTTTAGTTTATAAGATATATTGAGATAGAAAAGATTGTTACTGATACAATCTTGCTAATTAACCCATAGATGAGGGGAGAAGAGGTGAATTCATACCTTTCCCAAGGATATTTGTTCATAAATGAATATAACAAACCTGACTGGAATTGGAACTCAGCTCTCCAATTTCCAACTCCAAGATGTTATCCATTGCAAAACCTGCAATTTCAAACTTAGTGCACTTGGTATTCCCAAGTGGTCACCCATCTAGGTACTGACCAGGCTCGATGTTGCTTAACTTTGGTAATTATGCAGAAACTGGTGTTTTAATGTGATGTGACTGTAAGTCTGCAAATAACTGTAAATACATACATTTGCATATATGTTGACATATATGCATACATATGCATATATGTTGACATATATGCATACATATGCATATGTATTATTCATTTGAATTATTATCTGAAGCTCAAAGGGTAAAAGCAAATCATTGAGGGTAAAACAATGGAATGCCAAGGGAATGGTGATGACCAATTTAAAAAGACAGGCTGCGTTTTGGATCAATGAGATGATCATTCATTAAGTGTTGTCCTGCCTTTTATATTCCACTACTATATGTGATAGACAAAGCTGTTGCATATATTAACACAACCAATCAAGTTTGTCATATCTCTGAGGTACCATTTTTTTTTTTTTATAATAGGCTTCGGACACATTACATTGTCCACTGTTGCAAGCTGACCAAAGCTACTTAACAGTCTATATCTTTCTTTTCGTTTTTTGTTTTGAATTCAGACAGACAGTGTGGATGGAGAATCCATTTCTTGTGCTATTACACATCTAATTCTTTAAAAAGAGGAAGGGGAAAATGCATTTCACAAAATGGCGTTAAAAAGTATATACCAAATAGCAACCGAGACTTTCTTTGGAATAAGATCACGGATCTAAGTGAATTAAACCAGAAATCTAAACAACTAGCCCTTCTGCGGTTCGATTTGAATTCAACTATAAATTTACCAAACTGTTTCCAGCAGTAATATTATCACATGGAAAAAATATTAAAAACTTATGGATGCCCAAAATATAAAAAAAATGATTCTGCAGAAACCAGGAAATAAATTACCATATACTAGAACACATGATCCATATTGTATCCCAAATAGCAACCAAAACATTCTTGGAATAAGATCACATGCGTGGTTTAAGAAAATAAAACCAGAAATCTAAAGCAAGGTGGTTCCATTTGAATTCAGCTATAAATTTACCAAACTGTTTCCAGTAGTAATATTAGCTAATGGAAAAAAATATTAAAAACTTATGGATGCCCAAAATATTAAAAAAAATGACTCTGCAAAAACCAGGAAATAAATTACCATATACTAGAAAGCATGACTGGTATTCCATATTATTTGTATCATCATCTTTCAATTTTTTTTTTATTATAATCATAATTTTAAGGTGATTTCTGACAGCATATATATGGTGCCCCACCCATCATCATTCAGAGGCTGCCTTTAAATTAACTTCAGATCTTGACCGTTTTATCGGGACAACACACCTAAAACTTTTCTAAAATCTTTCTTCACTAAAGTAAACTTATAGAAATTTAAAGGGAAAAAAATGTCTGCAACTATACACTCGTTTGAGCCACAACTGGACACATGTCCAGTTGAACTCACTGAATCAAAGCCAAGGCGTCGGCACCAAACTTCTCTTCGGATTTCTGTGTTGAAAAAGAAACTTAAAATTTCATTTAAAAATGAAATGCACAGTCATTCTCGTCAAGGTCAGTCATTTTATTGATTTTTTTATCCCTAAATATTTCACTTCTCCTTTCTCCTTTAAAAACGAAGTAAAACCTTTGTCCCATAAGAGTTGTTACTCTTATGTATGAAATATATATAAAAATTTAACAAAAATTATGGGACAAAGGTAGTAGTTATTTTCTTAAATTACTGCATTTGTCCCAAAATAATTGTTACATGTAGTATATAAACTATATATGGAAATGCATCAACTATTATGGGACAGAGAGAGTAGATAGATTTGCCTACCATCCGGTTCAAACTCCTCCCCTGTCTTATGAGTAGAGATTTATTCCTTGTTTCCTGTTTAGGATTGAGTTTCTGGTTTCTTCTAAAGTCTACTTCAACTCTATATGTCTAACATCTCTGCCTAAAAGTCTGAACTTTTTTTATTATTGATTTACTTTTTCTGTTCTCAATAGGAGTAGATAGGTTTGCCTGTTGCACAGTTCACACTCCTCCCCAGTCTTTGGAACAGGAGTAGAGGTTTATCCATTGTTTCTTGTTTAGGATTGGCTTTCCTGTTCCTTCTAAACCCTTTTCCTTCTCTATCACTTTCATTGGCCCATGTGTCTTGATGGCATTATCTTCTTGCTTGAGGTCATGTCTTTGTAAACCTCTACTTTGAGTGGCTCTTGAACCTTGTACAGGGTGAATAACCTTGTATAAAAAGTAGTTCTTTTCTTTAGTTGCTACATCTGACCCAAAATAATTGTTATATTTTGTGTATAAAATATATCTAGAAATGTATCATCTATTATGGGACAGAAGTAGTAGATCTTTTCTTTAGTTACTGTCTTTGTCCCAAAATAATTATTACATTTCTGTATGAAATATATATGCAAATCTATCAACTTAGTGGGACAGAGGGAGTAGATAGGGTTGTCTATCATCCGGTTCACACTCTTCCCCTGCTTTATGAATAGGAGTAGATGTTTATACCTTGTTTCTAGTTTAGGATTGGCTTTCTTGTTCCTTCTAAAGCCTTTTCATTCTCTTTCACTTTCAGTGGTCCATTGTGTCTTGTGGTATTATCTCCTTGCCTGGGGTGATGTCCCTTACTATGTAACTCTCTACCTCGAGTGGCTCTTGAGCCGTGTACAGGGTGAATATCATTGTATAAAAAGTTGTTCCTTTCTTCAGTTACTATCTTTGTCCCAATATAATTATTACATGTAGTATATGATATATATATATATATATATATATATATATATATATATATATATGTAAATGTATCAACTATTATTGTACAGATGTAGTAGTTCTTTTTTTCAGTTATTACATTGTTTTGTATATTTATAAGATGAGATATTATCATTATTTTACACTAATTTATTCAAACTGATATCCTCATCTTGGTCGTTATAGTAAAAACATTTCTGCTATTTCTGAGATGAGAAATTATTATAATTATACAATAATTTATTTAAACTGTTATCCTTATCTTTATTGTTTTAGTCACAATGTTTCATACATTTCAAATGTCTGAATGTGGAACAGAATGAATGTCTTAAGTGATTTAATCAGTTTGGAAAATTGAATTGACAAACTGTTCAGCTTTAGTGAAGACTTTTTATCTCTCCTTTGTTCTAATGTTCTTAAGAAAGGCATGAATCCAACTTACTTGATGATGTGAATAGTTTGCATTTAGATCAACCATGGACTTCTAATTGGCATATTATAAATGTTCACAGATTATTTCTGCCTGAATTTCTGGGAATTGGAGTTATCATTATTTAAACTATTTATATTCAGACTATTGTCCTCATCTTTGTTGTTGTTATTTGATCCTTGTATTCTCCAGCCTCCCTCAGGTGTATATCAATCCGGGGGTAACCTACAGGAAATTCTGAATTGAAGCCTTTGTTTAATCTATGAGCGTAAACTGTTCTCATTTCACTGCTCCTGAATTAGACGTTATCCTAGACATGAGCAGTGGAACGAGAACAGTCTACCTTTGTAGATTAAATAAAGGGTTCCGTTCAGAATTCCCAGTAGGTTAACCCCAGACTGATATACACCTGAGGGAGGCCGGAGGGCAGAACGGCTGAAACGTTCTGATAACAACAACAAAGATGAGGAGAATAGTTCAAACATAAATAGGGTAAATAAGTTCATAGGTTTTTCAAAGATCTCTCTCTTCCTCCTCCTCCTCTCTCTCTCTCTACCTCTCCCCCCCTCTCTCTCTCAGGTTATGTTGGCTTCATGGATTCTCCTGACACTCTCTCTCTCATTTTGATTTCAGGAGAGTTTGAATTTTGGGGTAGATGATTCAAAATTGTTTTTTAGGATGGTTCTGGGACGATGATGGAAAATGATAGTCTGGATCCCTGGAGTAACCTACCTAACAAACTTGTGAAAAATAGATGGCAGAACAGGAGTGAGAGTGATACTAAAGAGAGAGAAATTTATGGAGAGCCATGACCACACACATCCTGAATGGACACAGCATATAAAAGAAGACGTTTACTTATATTCTTAAGTAGTACATACTGTTTTATTGGTATTGGTGCTTCATCTCCCAGATGTGGCCAGTAAGACTGGCTCATGCACGAAGCTGATAAAACAAAAACACTGATATGCATATAGGACACTACTTTAAGGAAACTGTCAGTTGCTGATTAAATCAACATTAATGCAAATAATAGTTTATACTGTTTAATTTTTGCAAGCTCATGGGTCTTAGCAATATTACAAATCAAACAAAGAAAAGAATTATCTGATGTAAATGACAAGGCAGTATTCGTGATAAATGATAACATGGAGTCTATCCTATATTTAAATATATATTGATGACTCACAATGTGGCTCAGTATTGCAACAACATTTAGAATTGCTATAAATATTTAAGGGCTGGATTATCCTTTAGGCTAGTATGGGCCCAGGATCAGATTATCCTCTAGGCTAGTATAGGGTGCAGCCGAGGGTCCAAGGCTGGATTATCCTTTAAGATGATATAGGTTGCATCTTGGGGTCCAGAGCTGGATTGTCCTTTATGCTAGTATAAGCTGCATCCTAGGGTCCAAGGCTGGATTGAACTTTA